GTGTGTGTGTGTGTGTGTGTGGCAGAGCCCCCACAGTTGAATTGTAACTTTTCCTGAACAAGTTAGGAAACATAATCTATCCTTAGAAATCTAAACCTAAATTTGTCGTCTGTCATGAAATAAATAGTGGCATCTTAACTGAATGTTGTGAAAATGTCTAATCTCACTGTTAACATCTTCCACTCAAATGTGAATAGTTGAGTTCCTCACAAGAATTTGGGGTTACTTCAATAGTGTGATATGTATTATTTTTATAGGCAGCACTGGAAAATATGGAATATGTGTCGAACCAGTGATAGATGGATTAACTGATCGTGATGCTAAACTTGTATGTATGAGGAATGTATAATGAAGTTTCAGTTATCGTTATTACAGGAAACTTACTAGATACATAAGAAATGAGACTACTGAAGAATATGTGTGTATATGTAAAGGGTGGGCCATAAAATCCGGCCCTCGCACTGCGACCTTCAATGATTACTGTGCTTCATCTTTGGATTAATCCTTTAATAATCCTACACTTCGAATGAAATGTAGGGCTTTATTTATGAGGGCATCATAAAAGCCACTTGGTTCCATGAAGAATTGACCCAGGTGACAAAATCGTAAATAAGCTATGGCCTTACAATCACGAAGGACGTGTGTGCCTGATTCGTTTTCTTGTAGGCACCTTTCCAGGTTCGTTCATCTGTCAGTCCCAGTTTGGAAACGTGTCATTTAGAAACTGCAGAGGAATGTAGGACACGTTTAAGTAATGCAAATTGGGAGTAAATATTAAGCAGCTGTGATTTGGATTATAGATTCATCACATTTCCGAACATGTTAAGTTTTGAAGTAAGTTCCATCTCCAAGATGTAGAATAGGTTTTCTGAAAATAATGACTGGATAACTAAGTGGATGAAAATGTCATGCAAACACACATAAGAGATGTATCTAAATAGCCACTCTAGTAACACCCAAATAATGAAAATTCACTAGAGGAGCCATGTTGGCCCCTCAACTTTTAGAACTAATTGATATTAAAATCAATATTAAAATTTTAGTAGAAATATTTTTTGTAAAGACACTTTTCCAACAGACCAGAAGACAAGAAGTCTCACGCAGACATAAATTAGTAGGCTGCAGGAAATTCAATGTTTTGCTATTTCTAACATAATTTCTTGTGTAACCTCTCTTTTTACATATTGAAAAGTTGTTTGATACTTGTCAAAAATTGCATTCTCTTGCTTTTTAAAACTGTAAGATATGTGACTTTAGGTAATTATATTGAAATTATTCCTAAATTATAAATAGAATTAAATCTCCTTGTATCAAAATCTAATCTATTTTGAAGTGAGGCCCTGGACTATTATTCACAGGGCTGAGGTGGCCCTCTGTACAAGTTGAGTTTGACATGCCTGCACTAGAGGATATACTGCAAAGTTTTAGCCCAAGTCAATAAAGAAGCAAAGTATATGCATTACAATAAACAGAATAAAAGATAAATGAAAGGAATGTGGAAATCTGAGACAAAGGAAATGGGGTAAAAACTCCACAGAAGAAGAGATATTGTCAGAAACCATAAACTACAGCATAATAAAAATTCCTAAACTCAGAGCAAGCTCATAAAGTCCTTATGTGTTAATAATTATAGAAATATGAACAGTGCTGCTAATAATGAGGCAATCCTGCACATATGTGACAGTTGTTTTGGAAAACATGTTGCAGAAATTGAAATGGCATAAATTATACATTATTTTCCCATAGGAATGAATGAAAATATATATGAGCTCTTCTACGAAAAGTATCAGTATTTTTCCTCGTAGCCAACCTTGAAAAGCCTGTCTTGACCATATGCTGGTCTTGAAATCGTACTTGCAGCCAGCCTGGCAGACTATAGGCCATTCTCCTTTGGTTTAATCTGGGTTTCCCTGCAGGAAACATGCAAAATAATAGGAAGTCCACAGACATTTTGGAGGAATGTGCTGTCTCCCTGTTTGGGGTTAAAGATTCAGACAAAAACCCAGGAAGACTGAGGCTGGAAACAGCCTATGAAGACTACTGTCATCTCTTAGGTAATGCTGTGTAGCCTGATAGATGCCCACTGACATTTTGGAGTTAGGCACTGCCTCCATCTTCAGGGCCGAAGTGTAGGTGTAATGAGAAGCAGGCAGCAAACAAAGCTCTGTGACATTCCTTTGTGTCATGTGTGACTCAGCTCTAACAGTTGCAGTCCTTTTTGTCAGGCATTTGAATAAATCTGGTGACAAAATTGAATTGTCTGTACTGTATATAGCTTATATCTGTTTCCCTGTAATTTTTCTGTCAGTTGTTTAGAGTTGTGTGTGTTGCTGTCACACTTGCAGTCACATTTGTCCTGTCCTTCCCATCTGTACCACATATGTAATTTATAAAGTTTTATTTTGAAACGTGTGCCCCTTAGGTATGCAGTGTATGAAAATTATCCCTGCTTTGAAAATGTGTACAGTTTAGAGTATTTGGCAATCAGAAAGTCAGAGGTATGTCATAGCTTGCATTGTGTGTCATAGTGTGGTCATTATTGCCAGGAGCATTGTCATTGTTTGAAGAGTGGAGAAATCTAAGAATGTAAATGAGTCTATCACATCATGGTTTTGCAATGAAAGAATGGAAATAGCTGTTGAACTGTCTTACAGGTTGCCACGTGTTATGTCCAATTTGAGTAGGAGCTGCTACATATAGATTTCAGGTACTGGAGAAGGTGTATTGTAAAGGTAATATAAGTATTGTTGGTAGTATTGATTGGTCTCCAGCAACAAGGCAAAACTGCTGTAAAAATGCAGCATGAAAAGGCTGTATGTAGTGGAGTTTTTATTTTTATTGGGTGTATCATTCTTTGTTCTGCCAGTCATATGGTGAGTGCATTTATCATTATTGCTGTTTTCACAACCCATCGGTTGTTCTCACTTTGATACCTGTTGGGTTGTTGGATGCACCTCATGGTCAGAGCTGTCTTGCATGTTGTCACTGTGGACTTCTCTACCTGGTTTGGCTGTTAGTGATCCTTGCTTGTCCACTCTTTCGTAGGATGGAAATGGAGCTTGTTCTTTCATGTGATCATAATCCTTGTCTGTTTTGTCAGTTTTCCTCAGTTCCATGTTATTTGCTGTCTAGCATTCAATTTGTACAGACATTGTTTTCAAAATTCATGATGTCGTTCACTTGTAGTGTGAGAGTGAAAATAAGAAATAGGTTGCTTGGTTGTGCCGAAAGCATGGTGTTGTTACCTGTCCTTTCTATGCAGAAGCCAGGAATTTGTAAGGTTACACATTTAAATGAATATAATGAAGGAATATAGAACAGCACTGGGTAGTCAAAACAGACCATGAATGGAATAGACAGGAATACATGTATGTGAAATGGAAAGCATATGCACATTGGTTTACAGGGAATAAAAAAGTCATACTGTAGTCTTTGCAAAGTGTAATAGAGTAGGCTTGAATGTGAAGACTTTTATTTACTCAATTTCACAATTTTGCAAATAACTTATTCACAGATTCACCCATACATGTCTTACCTCCTCTTCACTTGCTGTCTTGAGGTTATTAAATTCCTTTGTGTTCATCATTAGTTCACAGTTTCACTTTTTAGTCACAACTCTTTTTAACCTTAAAGTAGGTCAACATTTCTTGCCTCAAACACTAAACTGAACACTATGTTTGAATGTTACACTTATGTCATAATTACACTGCAACTATGTTGGCCATTGTTTGCTATATGCGGGAGCATGTGTTTAATATACTCAGAATATGGTTATCTGTAATATGCAAAGAAGTGTATTGTATTTTTATAATATCTTATTTGTTTGTTTTATAGATTTTGTTCTTACAGTTGACATGTTTGTTGTAGTAGATGTGAATATAGTTGTCTATGCAGTGTTAATATTTGCATGTTACCTGTAATATGTAAGAGATATTATATTTTTTGTTATTACTGCTTATGTGTTGCTTTACTTACGTGTGTTGGGGTGGCTCATCTAGATACAACTTCCTGTTGGGTTGGTTGTATTGCTGTGCTTTCCCTGTGTGGAGATTTTGTATGTTCCATATGGTTGGTGCCTTTTTTTTTAAGAAAGTGAGGGGAATATGTCCTGCTCTCTGGTATGGAGTTCGTATATGGATTCAAATATGGGGATGTCTCATTCACATGTAGGTTTTCTTTGCTGATTCTATAGATGCAGTCTTTCTCTAAAGTATTTGTCTGCTTTTCTTTCCTATTTTTATATTGTCCATAGTATCAGCCATGGTCCTGTACGCATACCCCGTGTTTAGTATGTGGTTTGAATAATAATAAAAATGCAAGGGAGGAGGAAGAAAAAATAAACTAAGGAATGAAAGAAACAAAATCGAAAGAAATGAAGTAAAGAGGAAAGGAAAGAAAGAAAAACAAAAGAATGCCTGAAAGAAAGAGGTGAAGGAAAACCAGAAAGCAACTTCATCTCCATGAAAAACATATCCTTGTCACTGTGTTAAGGAGAGATCAAGAGAGAGCTTTCAGTCGGTAAACACAATTTATAGATTAATGTCAAGCTTCCTGAATGTTGTTCCATTTTATGGTACTATTAATATGGATGCCATCTTTGGGAATATAATGCTATGTAGTTTGGTAAATGCTTACCAACATTTCAGAGAAACCTGCTGCCTCCATGCTCAGGGTAGAATGTTATTCTAATTTTATTTTTAGGTTTCAATTCTGGATAGGGATTCTTTTCCTCGACTCCACATTTATACTGACAGACAGGGGAATATCCAGTCTCCTTGCTGAAGGGTACATGGGGTAGTGAGGCTGGAGTGTGAAGCTGACTACTCACCATACAGTTCTGAAGTCAAGAATACACGTACTTTATCTATACCTCAATTCCACCATATAAGTTCATAATTACTTGAGCACAGGTACAATTTCACATGTACACAGGTAGGGGTTTTATGAAGAAAATTAAGGACAGAACTACAGAACTGCCAGGTTTAATTACTTTATGCTATATCTGTATTTCTTGCTCTTTTTAAAACTGACTACATGGTCGTTATGTGAGCAGTGGTGTCAGTATTATGTTGGATGTTGCCTCTTGTTTGAAGTTCATATTTTGGGTGAAGACTCTGCTGTCGTCTTCAGATGAGCATACTCTCGAAATGTCGTATACATCAAATATACCACAGACAGTGGACATAGGACAACAAATACTAATGTAGCCTAATGCATCAGTCATGGTTACAAACCTGCAGAAAGATATGTGAGCAGCGGTTGGGTCAAATTAAGGGTGCTAGTATGTCATCAGTGACCAACTTTTCATCTTCTCTGCATTCAATCTCAGATCTCTCTCATTGCAAATCACAGAGCTGCCAATAATCTGCCCCATTTTCACATTATACAGGAGAGACTGCAATTTCACAGCCTTGACATGTGCAAAATCAGAATCTCGTGTCATTTTGTTCAGTACTTGGCTGGAGTTGAACATTATCTTGCCCTGTTGACACTTCAGCCATCTCTAGTTTCGTGTATTCTTTGCTGCTTTCATTTGCTGCTTGATACTTCAGGCCTGAAGAACACAATGATAAATATAATTGATTAACTGATTTGTAGATGAATTAACATTGCTTCTTCAAATGAAAAAGTTACATCATGTTGAATGGGTCAGAAAATTGATTATTATTAACAGCAAATAAGCGAGAATTGAAAGCAAACAACTGTGGCCTATTTGAGGGAACTATCAAGATTTTGTTTGCAGATATTGAATAAAACTATGAAAACCCTAACCACAAAAGCCAGTAACTCCGTGGATATTCATATTTGACAAAATGTTACACTAGTAACAAAACAAATGTGGTGCCATGTGTTGAATTGTAAGTTCATTTATTTCTTTTAACACAGAGCCTCATGCCAGATCATTTAGAACAACGCTCATTTATTTAATTAAATTAACAACAACCCACTGGTATTAAAATTTATAACTGTAAAATAGAAACAAAATAATTTAAAGAAAAAGAATTAGGATGTAAACCCAACAGAATCAGCAAGTGAATTTATATATTGTATTATTTAATAAACATATACTGATGAATGAAATAATTTTCAGACACTTTAGTGAAATAATGTCCAGTGTTAGCTTACATATTTGAAATTCTACAAAATATTGGTTAAACCTTAGATAATGTACAGCAATACATGATATGCCAAGATCAAAAGAGGAGTAGAAGTATTAATAATTAAAATTTTATCACAGCAGCATATGAAAACACTTCCTTACTCTACAACTGGCCACCTTGAACATGGAGGATGTGATAATGTGGTGCCTAGTGAAGGCTATCACACCTCAAGGGGAGACTGTGGTGAGTATGTAGCAATGGTGGAGTGATGATTAGCAAAGGGAAACCGAAGAGACTCATGGAAATATCTGCTTCAGTGCTACTTTGGCCATTACAAATCTGACAAGAATTCACCCGGGATTGAACCCGGACCTCCGCGGTAAGAAGTCAGCATCTAATTTTTTAATGCTAGTGGGGTGGGACTAAGTACCTTGTACTGAGGCCACTTCTGGCCTATTGTACCAGCCCCAGATAGGTGGGGGTGTTTGTGGAGCAATTGGTGGAATGAAGATTGGCAGGGGAAACCGAAGTACTTGGAGAAAACCTGCCCCAGCGCCACTTTTTCGACCACAAATCCAACTTGACCAGACCCGGGATTGAACCCGGGCCGCCGCGGTGGGAAGCGAGCGACTAACCACTTGAGCTATGGCGCGGCCCAAAGTCAGCATCTAGTTGCTTGAGTGTGAGTGATGTCATAGCCATTAGCTGTACATGTTTAATGGAGAAATTGAAAGGCATAGAAATAATGTAGAATGGTAATGTCTAATAAATTTAAAAATGGAAATTAACATTTCATTAGTGAGGACACGTGGCCGAAGATTCAATGGAATTGTAATGCTTACGGGGCGAAAAGTAGAGGACGAAAAAGAAGTTACTGAAAGGAGGATTTAAAGGCTGATAGAGGCACAAAATGAAGTTGTACAAAGATAGGGTAACATATATGGGCATGATCGTACCACGTTTTCTGATGAACACAACTACTTCAGAAGTTATTAAGGTCGGGAGACCCACAAATATGATGGTACCATAAATCTATCTTCCTGCTGCTCACCTTTAAGAAGCTGCTCAAGCTCGACATCACTGTTTGATGTGCGTAGTTTCTCTGTGGGGCTCAGAATTTTGGCAACGGAAGGTCGCAGGTTATGAAACACGACTTGTTTGTCTTGACGCTTGAGGTCCTGCAAGAGTGACTGGATGCCCTGGGACGCGGTAAAGTCCGCGCGGGTCACATGGCGGCAGTTGAGCACCACGACGTCCACCTCCTCTGCCCCCGCCTTCGACACAGCCTCTCGTACAAAGTCTACAGCTGGAAACAGCAGTCCAGCGCTCGGCGTCACCAATACGTACTCAGGTCCTCCGGACGAACACTGCAATATCGCCACCACGTCATGGCCATGTTATGGTAGTGCTTATATGCTGGGAAATCTGGATTTGACGAACTTACTATCAAAACACTTGGAACTTGTAGCCTGAAATTTGTGTGCAATGAGTTTGAGGAATGTATTTCATAAGAGATCAGAGTTAACTAGTTTGCTGTGCTTCTGAAGTGGAACTTAGTGCTCGAGTATAAATTTCTAAGATGCCAAGAACCCAGGCTTGACAAAGGGATAGTTTCCTCCATCTACTATGATCTGGATGACTTTTTCTTCTTTGTGATTTGTTGGCCTATAGATTGTCCAGTTCGTTTTATGTGTGTCGGCGACTTCAGGCTTGGCGGGAAGAACATCAGACTCTTCTGCCTGGGCGACTCCACGATTTACTTCAGGCTTTGAAATGATTGTACTGAAGATTTTACTATGCTAATTTGTGTAATCCAATTTCTCCCTATTGCTGCTGCATTAGGGGCTCAGGCAATATGGTTTTTACACCCACCTGAAATCGCTCCACCTGAACACCTGGTCTGGCGTTGAAATACAGAAGAAAGGCGATGTCGACTGCCACTCCGATCACAATGCCCAGTTCCACGCCAATGGCCAAGCAAGCAATCAGGGTGAGGAACCCAGGCACCAGATCCCGCTCTGGGACAAAATCGCATTTTCAAGAGGTTTAGCAGCGTTACCCATTAAATTATCACAAAATTACTTTATGACGGTTCTTTCCTAGCTCAATTATGGAAGATTTCTCATTTGCATATGTTACATAAAATGTAGAGAGGATAATTGTGAATTGGAAAAGTTGTTGGGAGGAAGCTACCGTGACCTGTGTGACGCAACATTCTTGCGTGAACCTGGAGACACTGAAATGAAAGGTAATTGATTCAATTAGAATTGGTGTCCCTCATTCGAATCATATTTAAGCCTCCCTCAAACGAAAGACAGACGCGCTGTGATAACCTGCTTAGTACATCGTTTCCCCCTCCTCGATATTCTTTTCAGATTTCGGTCAAAATAAGAGTACCAATTTAATGAAAATTTGATCAGCCGATCGCGAGTACTTAATATTCGGATGGACAAGGAGACAGACATAACGAAGCTAATAATTGAACTTTTACAAACTGTCGTTGTAAAAACTTCACAAAAAAAATTGTATTATGCTTAGCAGGGATACGGACCCTGCTAATGAAGAGGTTTCTTGCCTGAGTATTTAGATTGGCCATTCACACGTGCATAATAAAGAGCTTCATAATTTATACTCTTCTCCAAGTATAATTAGAATAATCAAGTAAAGGAGGGTGAGATGGGCAGGGCATCTAGCAAGAATGGGGTTAAGAAAAATGCATACAAGATATTTGTGGGAAAGCCAGAAGGAAAGAAACCATTAGGACAACCGAGTCGAAGGTGGGTGGATAATATTCAAATGGGCCTTAGAGAGATCGGATGGGATGGTATGGACTGGGTATATCTGGCTTAGGATAGGGAACAGTGGAGGGCTCTTGTGAACACGGTAAAGAACCTTCGGGGTCCATAAAATGTTGGGAAATTCTTGAGTAGCTGCACAGGTGGCGGCTTCTCAAGAAGGGCTCAGTCCAGTGAAGTTTATTGCTAAGCTTTCTTCCATATGACGTACGCAGTGGATATGGGTAGGTCTGGTTAATGATACTCACTACAAGTATTGTTTTTTTTTGGGGGGGGGGCATTATCCATCTTCTGTCTATTGGACCCAACTGAGTAGGTTTTACCTGAGGATGGGGCAGACTCCAGTCTCCGAAACGTTGTGTTTTGAAAAAGAAACAGGACAGGTTTTTTAAAAAATAGACAAGACGACGGATAATGTCCAAAAAACAATATTAGTAGCAATGTGCCATGGTCACAAACCTTTTAGAGAGATACTCACTGTTTGACTTCCACATCGGTTTCACCATGCCAATCTCAACCATGAAGAGTACTGCACAGATAATCACAGACGATAAGGTGGCTTTCGGAATAAAGTAGAAGTACGGTGTCAGCAGACTCAGTGCCAGGATCACCATGATGCCTAAAATAATTCATTTCCGATCATTTATTTATCCCGAGCCACTCTCATCTAATCCACTTTCCCACTCTCTATTTATTCACAACTAACCTTAATATTACTTTTCTCATAAAAAGTAATAAGGACGTAAAAGTATCCCTGTACCAGGCCGTGAAGGCCAATAGGATTGTGAGACGTTGAGGGTCCCATATTATCTAGACAATCGGCTCAAAGATGGCGGTAAGGTTGTCAGCCTTACGCGCCGGCCGAGCTTTACTCCCCAGGAAAATTATTTAATTAATTCCTGGTACTCATTTCTGTTAGAGGCTGAGTCGACCCCAGGGCCATAGTGCGGCTAGAAGGATTAGGTAAATTGAAAAAAATCGAATGACCTCATCGGGATTTGAACCCGCGACCTTCCGACTTGTAGCATAGTACCTCAACCAAGTACTCTACCGCGTTCATATAAGCCAATCTACGAATATATATTTTGTTCTGCCAAGTGGAATTTCTCTAAAAAATATGAATATTAATGCACATTACAGATTTCGTTTTAGTGTGTAAAATGGCTAGGCAATCATAACCTCTAGAATTTTCTGATAATATTCATTCATTCATCAGTAATCTATCAAGACGACAGGTCCACAGTCTCTTCCAAAACAGTTCCTCCACTTGACGCTATCTAGAGCTTTCTGCTTCAAATGAAAATATCCTCTTCTGTCCCCAAGGTCATCCAGCATCTTCTTACGTCTTCTTCTTCGTCTTCTGGTCACTTCTATCCGCCCCTCTATCTTTCCTTCAATAACTTCTTTTAGAAGGCAGTTACCGCGTAAGATATGACCAATCAAATTAGCCTTCCGTTTTCTTATTTCGTGTAGGATATTCCTCTGCTCACTGACTCTAAATAACACTTCTTCATTTCTCACATAATCGGTCCAACTGATCTTCTCCATCCTTCTCCAACACCACATTTCCAAGCGTTCCAGGTACTACTGATAATATATAGCGAAGAAAATAAATCGTTGGGGGTTTTTGAAGTTCATCAGTCCCAGAAATAGATCATGTCTCAAATTCAAAATGCAGCATAAGAATAACGTCTGTGTTATTTCGTGAAAATAATATATTTATTTTTGTAATTATAAAAAACCAACAGATAAACTTATAAACTGAGCAAAGTAACTTACATTATGGCAGTATGATCCGAAAATTCAACACCTCTAATACCACAGCCCACAATTTGATATAATTCAAACACATAGCTTAATTTTCTAGGATCAGTTTTATTGTTTCCTTCTTTCTCCAACAGCTCTCTAACTAGATGCTTTACAGGATATTTCCTCACAAAAATTCTGTATGCATTTCTCTGTCTTCACCATCCTAGCCACGTCATAGTCTCCTAGATTTTACTCTCTTAACAGTAGGTGAACTATTTTATCCACGAAGTCCTTAGTTATGTATTATTTTACTTTGACCACTTGCTTCATGTCTCTGAAGCAGAAATGTTTCCCTGAACCTCTGACTTCAAAGTAAGAGATCTTACTTCTTACCCACACAAAGTACTAACTCGGAAAGCGATAGTTATGTATATCCAGACCTTCAGTGTTTCGGAAAGGGGCTTGAACAACAAGAGGTTTCGAGGTCAGTACTAACAGGCTTTTCAAGAATTAATTTTTCTCCTCTCAACACTAACCTCATTTACCAGGTACACCTATTTTATTTATATTTTAGGGAACTCAAAAATATAATAAATTGTTCTGACTTGAATCAGGAACAAAAAAATATCATAGCCGAAACGTGGCTCTCCCATATAACTTTTGAGGCTGTCACGGTGATGTTTCGGCTGGACATTCTGCCTCCATCTTCAGGGATGGTTACACAGGTTGATGAATTATTATATACGGCAGTTGCGAAGAAGCAATTACCCTGATGTTACCACATCACAGACGTTACTTATGGAAGCTGTAAGTTTCTTATGGCGGTGATTGATCAGATTTTGATTCCCAAAAGAGTTCTTCTACCCTGAAGATGGAGGTAGCACATTCCTCCGAAATGTTGGTATCCACCTATATGACTATACCATACCGTTTATGTATGGTTTATTTAGTGATAATCTCTCTAGCTCACATGACGTTCAATGCTAGGATGGTTAATGCGTGATGAATTGGAAACGATGTAGAAAAAAGCGGCCGTGGTCTATTTAAAGTTTTTATTCTCCGTATTCGTCTATGGGGTCATATCCGGTGTTCCAGCTGAAATTTGAAGGGCGCCTTCCGAATATACAGAGTGATTCTAAATTATTGTCTGGGTTTCCGTTTATAGGGAAAGTAAACTCTGACAATAATTTAGAATCATTTGTATCTCGAAGGGGTTACTAAGTCAAGTTAACAGAAAACGACCCTTTGTACCTGTATAGAGGCCTCCAAATGGCGTCCGAACTCCGCTGGCGTTGTTGACAGCACTGCGAGTAAAAGATCCACTGATGGGCATGGACCGCAAGAAGGAGCCCACGACGTTGCAGAGGCCCAATGTTATCATCTCCTGCGTGGCGTCCAACATAGCACCGCTTGCTGCCGCACAATTCCACATCACAACACAACTGAACGACATTGGGGTACATAGAAGCTAGTACGTTCAGAATTTGTTTTAGCGAAGTTTCATTACCTTGATCACAAGATCCCGCCACTCGAGCCCCTGTCCAACTTATGAATTCAGCCCACACCCTGTTTTGTTATGCCACCTGGATCAACCTATTGGTCTCCTGCCATCAGGTCTTAAACTAAAAATTTATTTGCCTTTAAGTAACGTTATAAAAATGAAATTGTGAACCCCTAAAGTCCAGTTGTTCTACGCGTACATGTATCATTTGCTTTAATACAATAAACTGTACATTGCGCCCACAGAATACATATGTCTCCTACAGTTCTCATAATGAACAGCGACTGTTTACTCCTAGCAGAGAAGTAATGTTTCCTGGGATGTAAGAACGGAATTCCTTATATTTTATTTAGAAGAAATTCAGCCCTTAAAATATTAATCTGATGGTACTGGTTGGGATGATGATAATAATAATAATGACAACAACAAAATTATTTCATAACAATCCCTTCCAGAGCTCCTTAAAACTGTACCATAATTACACACCATATCCTTGATTCAGGACCCAAGTGATACGTCAGTACTGACATTAGTAATTCTAAAAGCAGAAACAATAATAAAAAAGAGTTGCAGTTTTAGTCACAAATGTACAACGTAAATTTCACCTATAAAAGTGAAAGATAATGTCCTTATGCTTAATTAAGCATAAGTGTATTAAGGTATATTTTATTGCTAGTGGGGTGGGACTAAGTCCCTTGTACTGCGGCCACTTCTGGCCTATTGTACCAGCCCCAGATGATAGGTGAGGGTGATTGTGGAGCAATTGGTGGAATGAAGATTGGCAGGGGAAACTGAAGTACTCGGAGAAAACCTACCCCAGCGCCACTTTGTCCACCACAAATCCCACTTGACCAGACCCGGGATTGAACCCGGGCCGCCGCAGTGGTAAGCCAGCGACTAACCTCTTGACTTATGGCGCGGCCCAGTGTGGAGGTATAGTTCCATGCATTCTTAATTTTGGCACTAGATAGAGGTGAGTGGTCAGCTTCATGACCTGGCCGTTTTATCCCTGAGGTAGGTGACTTGTTGGGCTCCCAAGCCGGCCTGGACACTATGTCTCCCTGTACAGACCAGTTAGATCAGTGAATTAACATTTTCTGGTCGAACTCTTATAACTCATAATGAGAACCGAAATTTGCCGTGCTCTCAGCACTACTGAAACTTACAAAATGATTTAGCGATAGCAACATTGCCAAGAATTGCAATGATGGGAACAATGGCTATCCCGGATCCCAAGTGGCTCACCATGTCAGTAAAACTGTGGGTCTGGTTGCCGTAAAAGGTAGAGAAGGGGGGAGGTCCGGCGTGGGGAAGTCCCGCCTCGATCTGACCTGGAATCCACACAATTTGTATAAAATTAGGAAATTAAATATTATTGCGAAATGCAAGAAACAAAATGTAAAACTATTAGGGTCGCGTCATTTCCGAAATTGTGTTCGTAAACAAAGTTCATGGAAATTAACAGCCTTTTATTAAACCATTTTATACTAATTCACTGTATTCGGGATTCTCTGGCACTACAGCATGATATTTCAACAAAATGGCTGCCATTGAACTCGATACTGATTTTTCGATATTTATTTTAAATTGATTATTTAAATAAGAATGACAATCTGCTTCTAAATGCTGCTTCAGATATTAATGTAAGGGGAGCAATGCGAAATCTCTCAGTGACATCAATACATTAAAAAATAAAACATTCAATAATACAAATATTCATTACCAAAAACATAACTAAAAATTTATTGAACAGCAGTTTTACTGTTATAATTTGAGTTTAATTCTGGGTTGGATTCTAAGTCTCTCATATTGGCCCTCACGGAATAAAAAGAAACAAACTCCGTGGCCTATAGTCCGCAAGCGAACTATACCGACCGAGCGACCGCCGCTTGTCAGCGAAGTTAGTGCAAACTTTTGCGGATAGAGGGTGTCACTTGGTCAGGGCAACGGATCCCCAAGGCCGTTAATGTCTGTTTTCTAGACCGGAGCCGCTATTTCCTAGAACTAGCTCCTCAATTATCCTCATGAGGCTGAGTGGACCCCGTTCCAGACCCACTACTTCTCAGCAACTCTGGTAGCGCCGGGGATCGAGCCCGGGACCTCTGGATCTGTAGCCATGAACTCCGACCACTTGACCACAGAGGCGGTCACTAATATAACCGGTCAACGATTTGCAACAGAAAAAATATGTTTAAATATTCCAACTTCTGTTAGAGGTTAGATTAACCTGTGGTGACAGAAATACATACTTAAAATTTGAATATTATTTTATGTCCTTTAAATATTGACATATTAATATAGTTTCAAAGGACATCGAACTTTCCACTTGTTAACGCTGATACAAATTTCAGGATTGTCTTGAATAACCCTATCAAGTAAATAATATATCTTTGTAACACCATGAACCTCGGTCACTGATGCAAATTGCATAGTTGCTTTCAATCCCATATATATATATATATACACGCCCTTCTGCCCACTCATCCATTCGTTCATCATCAGTCTATCAACGCCATATCAGCCCTCCATCCAACCATTCACCCATCTAAGAGCCCACAAATCTATCAACGATCAGTCAGCCTGTCGGAGTATACCTAAAATCGCCTTAAGAGTATTTGACACAAAGCAGGTTAGTTAACTGTTAATTCTTAACACCTGTAAGTACGAATGGCGTTTGTCCTTGGCTCTTGAAGATGTACGATATGACAGCACAAATTACAACCACCATTGCATTGCGTCCTGTAGCTATGAAGAAACAGAGTTTGGTGAGGGCTCTCTGTCGACTGGTCTCCTTCCCAGGTTCACCCAGCCTAATGTCCTTTAGTCTCTGTAAAACGGATATACAAAGGTCACATTTCGAATGCATACACACAAGTTTACTGAAACAACTTTGATTTGTACTTTTCGTATGTGTATTTCTCTTTGGATCGCCTCTGTTGTCTAGTGGTCAAGGTTCCTGGGTATAGATCCAGAGGTCCTGGATTCGATTCCCGGCGCTGCCAGATAATCTGAGAAGTAGTGGGTCTGGAACGGGGTCCACTCAGCCTCGTGAGGATAATTGGGGAGCTACTTGAATGGAAAATTAGCGGCTCCGGTTTAGAAAACTGAAATATGGCGCTGACCACGCGACACCCTCTATCCGCTAAAGTTGGCACTAACTTCGCCTGAGAAGCGGCGGTCGCTAGGTCGGTATAGTTCGCTTGCGTCCTAAACCACGGAGTTTGTTTGTTTGTTTGTTTGTTTGTATTTCTCTCTTTACTCTGGTTCCCACATTGGAGCATAGGGCTGATTTCTCAGTTTCATGGTCGTTTTTGCAGACGGTAGGACTCCTTGGACGGATTGTCAGATCGTCGGAAGACTATGTGTGTTGGTATCACCAAGAAGACAAATTTAAAATCCATAAAAGATTTATACAATATCGTTTTATAACGAAGTATTTTTAATGGTTCTCTGATGTTGTTTAACTATGCTATGTTGAGAGAAGACCACATTACCCGGGGCATTTCCCACCGCGATGCGTCGCGTCGCGTCCTCAGGTTGCGGATGGAGGAGACGGCTTCTATATATAGAGGGTAGCTGCAAATACAGGGTTATTCAAAAGTCCGTGAAACGTTTTAAAAATTCACAACAATTAAACTATGCATCGGATCATGGTAATTCTTACTCCGATAGAGAATGAATCTCTCCACGTTTTTTTTTAAACCGCCATTGCCTGCTAATCTCAGGGGTCTTCGCAACCGTATCACCGCTGCTGTGGCTCTGGTCAACCGTGATATGCTGACACGGTTGTGGGTCCAAATGGATTATCGCATAATGTCTGCCGTATCAGCAAAGGTGGACACATCGAGCATCTGTGAATTATGTAAAAAAAACTTGGTGAGTTTATCTCTATTTCAGTGTAATAAAATTTGGTATCCGTTGCGTAGTTTATTTATTGTAAATTTTCAAATCGTTTCACGGACTTATGAATAACCCTGTATATTGAATCAGGGGTTGCGGACAGACGACAAGAGGTGATGCTTAAGCTTGGGGATTTTGTGCAGCATGTTAAGACATTTTTCACAACTCTCAGTCTTGGTTAGATTATTTGGAACGAGCTAAGGAACGGAAAATGGATCTGAGATTTTGAAAGTGTCATGGCGAACCACTTCAACCACTTCCCCAAGCACCATAGGAAAATGTTGTTAAGACGTTTCAATGACAAACATAAGGAGAGGAGATAGTTTTAAACAGATATTTTGGAAATGAGTTAGATGAAACTAGTAATGAAAATGGGAATAGAATAATATACTTTACCACTTCAAAACATTTGTCAAGAGTACAATGTTCATACATCGCAACATTAATACATATTCTTGGGCTTCTCTTAATGGGAAGACACTGAGAATACTCTAATAGTATTGCCCTTACTCAGGATACTCAAATGCACTGGGATTATTGTGTGTGTGTGTCCTTGCAACGCGTGTACTGCATAGTTAACTGTACATGTTTGGATATGCAATGTCTCTACTTTGTTTACTGTGTGTACCTTGTTTTGCATTGTTCCCTTTATGTACAGTCTAATTTCCTTGTCTGTGTCAGTGTAAGGTCTACTGCCCAGTCTAAGGTCTACTGCCACCGGGTGAACACCCAATTGCAGTAAAACAACAAATATAATAATAATAATAATTCAATTCATGTTTATTTACGTGCAAACTTAACAGCACAGAGGCCAATTACAAAGCTAGCACGAATAGAGAAATACACAAAAATAATTAAAAAAAAAGAATACAAAAATGATAGTCTATAATAATTACACAGTTAGCATGAATAACAATAATAATAATAACAACAATAACAATAGAGGTCATCTCTTGATAGACAGAAGACAGCCTTTAAGTACAATTCTACTTAAAACTCTCTAACACTGATAGATTTCCCAATTTTGAAATATTATAGAAATTTGGGTGAATTAAATGGTAAAATGTGGAAGCGAAATACGTAGATAAGGGATAATCAAGTTCAGACGTTTCAGCTTAAGGAACAATAGTAGTATGTGTAAAGAGTGGGCCATGACATCCGGCCCTCGCAGTGCGACCTTCAGTGATCTATTGTGCTTACCCTTTGGATTAACCCTTCATTAATCCTACATTTCGAATGAAATGCAGGACTTTATTTATGGGGGGGGGGCATAAAAGTCACTTGGTTCCATGAAGAATTGACCCAGGTGACAAAATCGTAAGTAAGCTATGGCCTCACAATCACACAGGATGTGTGTGGCTGATTCGTCTTCTTGTAGGCACCTTTCACAGGTGGGTCCTCTGTCAGTCCCAGTTTGAAAAGGTGTCCTTTTAGGTGGTAGTGTCCAGTAAGTAATCCTACCACCCTTCTTAATTGATGTCTGTTTAGTTTCAACAGGTCCTTCGTTCTACTGGCAGAGGGTCCTGATATAAATCCCTTTGCCTGTTTGAGTAAGGAACAGTAAGACCGCGGCAGTTATAACGTCACTAGAAATTCGTGGCTTTTCACCTAAGCCCGTAGACATTCGCTATAGTCACATTTAGGTTTAAGTAATATTTTAATTAGGCCGCGCCATAGCTCAAGCGGTTAGACGCTGGCTTCCCACCGCGGCGGCCCGGGTTCGATCCCGGTTCAGTCAAGTGTAATTTGTGGTGGAGAAAGTGGCGCTGGGGCAGGTTTTCTCCGAGTACTTCGGTTTCCCTTGCCAATCTTCATTCCACCAATTGCTCCACAATCACCCTCACCTATCATCTGGGGCTGGTACAACAGGCCAGAAGTGGCCGCAGTACAAGGGACTTAGTCCCACCCACTAGCAATAAAAAAATAATTGGTATTTCAAGGTACATAAGGATTGGTACCGATGTTTGGTGAATTCTTAGGAGTTTGACGATGCTACTTAAACTGTATAGGGTAAAATGCGCCGAATGTTTTGCAACATGTTCATGAAAGGCGAGTAGAGATCATGGTCTATTTAAAGGTGCTGTCGAGGAATTCATCTGGAAGCACTGAAGATAACCAGTAACATCTCAACCAATATTCAGACCTCTATCTGACGCTACTCACCCTGAGACACAGTAGGCTGATGATGCAACAGACGCCCAGCACCGTATCCCACATCCTCGTGCTGCCAATATTCTGGAACAGTTTGGTCCAGGAATCCACGAATCCCTCGGAACTGTAGCTCAATCCAAACAGACCTTTTACTTGGGAGCTCGCAATTATGATGGCTGATGCTGACGTGAAGCCAGCAACTACTGGTACTGATACGAATTCTACCAGAAACCCTGCATCAAAACGTTCCGTCTTATGCAATAGCGTTACTTACTACAAATATTATGTTTTTGGACATTATCCATCGTCTTGTATTTATCTAAAGACCGTCCTGTTTATTTTTCCAAACACAACGTTTCGGAGACTGGATTCTGTCTCCGTCTTCAGCTAAAACTTACTGCGAGAGAGGGACTGGCTCTATTGATTGTGCCCAACTGAGTAGGTTTTACCTGAAGACGGAGACAAAATCCAGTCTCCGAAACGTTGTGTTTGGAAAAATAAACAAGACGGTCTTTAGATAAATACAAGACGATGGGTAATGTCCAAAGACATAATATTTGTACTAATGTAGCATCGTCACTCTTCATATATAATTTTATTCAGTTTCCGTGGAGGTAAAGCGACTGAACCTTGAAGCTGGTCACTCATCTACACTAGTACAAAGTTTAATGACAAGTGACACTTCATATTCACTCCCCTAAGCCTGCGTATCTTTATGCTTGATGCTTAAGGACAATTTACCTTTGCCTTTATGTTAGAATTCCCCGGAGATAAAGGGTCTAAGGGGAAATCTCACTACTCAGCATCAAAGACTTGAAATTAGCGTTTTAAGTAAGATATGATTTAGACCGCGCCATAGCTCAAGCGGTTAGTCGCTGGCTTTCCACCGCTGCGGCCCGAGTTCAAACCCGGGTCTGGTCAAGCGGGATTTGTGGTGGACAAAGTGGCGCTGGGGTAGGTTTTCTCCGAGTACTTCGTTTTCCCTTGTCAATCTTCATTCTACCAAATTCTCCATCATCATAATCACCCGGGGCAGGCTACAATAGGCCAATCAGTGGCCGCCGTGCCGAGTGGACCCAACTGGACTCCACCCCCCGCTATGCGAATTAAAAAAAATATATGATTTATACGCGGCGAATAATTTCCTCAGGGGATCAACCATGTCAATGTCGAATTAAAATCCAACGTTTTAGAGATCTCCTTCATCTCCACCATCAAGTTCGATGTGGTGAATAATCATACATCGTGTTTTATGTGAGGACGAGTCCCTGAAGATATCGCATAATTCCAGACAAGTTTCCTCATAGGAATAAACGTATTGCCGATTTTGTTGGCGGTTGGTGGATTCACATTATTTCAAACTATGCTCATAAAATGAGACTTTATTCATATTTGTTGTATCGCACTATTTCAAATTTGCATAAAATGCGACCGCACTATATAAGAGTATACCAGTCTGGTCAAAACAATACCTCATTCTATTGACACAAAATGCGGCAGGAGACAGCATTTAATGAGCGCGTGGGAGATCTCAGAAAAGTTGGATTTTAAATCAGCATTGACACGGCTGATCGCCCGAGAAGATTTTCATACAGGATCAACATTGTGTATATCGGGTCAAATTATTAATTAATTTAAGATGCCTAACTAGAAACGTACTTCATTCGAGAAAGCAGACTCAAGCGCTCAAGCGGCACTGCTTGTCACTCATATTGGAAAGATGTCTCTTTCGAATCTCTGCAGAACACGATTATAATGACTGAGGGTTTCGTAATTCTCCTCCCTCCGGGGATAATTCCGGTGTAAAGGCAAAAGATGAAGCTGTCCCGGTGCCTGACTAATTAAGCACTACGCCATGAAGACGTATGGGGAAGTGGATGTATAGAGCCATATTTTGTTGAACTCTACACCAGTTGGAGGCGAGTGGTCAGCTTCACGCCCTGGCCACTTTACCTCGGGGGAAAGAGCCCTCGGTACCCATTGGATAGGAGACTGGGTGGGCCCCAGAGCCGGTCTGGACGACGTGGAGAAGAGAAAATTCTTGACCCTACCGTGACTCGAACTCCGACCCCTCGGTCGTCCAGCCCGTAGCCAGTCGCTATACCGACTGAGCTATCCTGGCTCCCAATTTAGGTCATAACCGCTTCCTTCCACACAATTCCAACTTCATTTTTCACTGTCATTCTGCATAAAGTGAGTCACTGATAGTCGTGCTATAAAGTGCAAAGAAGCGTAGGATTTTAGGTTCTCACAGCAGTGGTCATGAATAGTTGTGTCTCCTGGGATATAACGCCCTGTAGTCCGTCAGTAGGCCAGCATGAAGCAGGTAACGAGTAGACATGGGATATAAAAGGCCTGTAGTCTGTCAGTAGGTCAGCATGAAGCAGGTAACGAGTAGACATTGGACATAACGCCCTGCAGTCCGTCAGTAGGTCAGCATGAGGTAGGTAACGAGTAGACACGGGATATAACGCCCTGCAGTCCGTCAGTAGGCAAGCATGAAGCAGGTAACGAGTAGACATTGGACATAACGCCCTGCAGTCCGTCAGTAGGTCAGCATGAAGCAGGTAACGAGTAGACATTGGACATAACGCCCTGTAGTCCGTCAGTAGGCCAGCATGAGGCAGGTAACGAGTAGACATGGGATATAACGCCCTGTAGTCTGTCAGTAGGTCAGCATGAAGCAGGTAACGAGTAGACATGGGATATAACGCCCTGTAGTCTGTCAGTAGGTCAGCATGAAGCAGGTAACGAGTAGACATGGGATATAACGCCCTGTAGTCTGTCAGTAGGTCAGCATGAAGCAGGTAACGAGTAGACATGGGATATAACGCCCTGTAGTCTGTCAGTAGGTCAGCATGAAGCAGGTAACGAGTAGACATGGGATATAACGCCCTGTAGTCTGTCAGTAGGTCAGCATGAAGCAGGTAACGAGTAGACATGGGATATAACGCCCTGTAGTCTGTCAGTAGGTCAGCATGAAGCAGGTAACGAGTAGACATGGGATATAACGCCCTGTAGTCTGTCAGTAGGTCAGCATGAAGCAGGTAACGAGTAGACATGGGATATAACGCCCTGTAGTCTGTCAGTAGGTCAGCATGAAGCAGGTAACGAGTAGACATGGGATATAACGCCCTGTAGTCTGTCAGTAGGTCAGCATGAAGCAGGTAACGAGTAGACATGGGATATAACGCCCTGTAGTCTGTCAGTAGGTCAGCATGAAGCAGGTAACGAGTAGACATGGGATATAACGGCCTGCATTCCGTCAGTAGGCCAGCATGAAGCAGGTAACTAGTAGGCCTTCACGCTAGTTTCTTGCTTCGCTTATTCGTTGACCCTGAAGATGGAGCCGACATGTTCCCCCAAAACGTCCGTTAACTTTCAACGGACCACACAACATTATATCCCAGAAGACAGAACTGTATACAAGTAAATAAACAAATTATGGATTATGCTAACCCAGCTGCAGGATGCCACACAGAAACACTATACAGCCGGTGAGGAAACACAGAAGCACCGCCATGTCCGGGTTTGTTTCGTGCGTGTACGTGTAAGTGAGCAGTGACATCAGCGCCGTGGGACCGATGTTCACTTCCTTGCAGGTCCCAAACATGATGTAGACCACAGCACCCGCCATGGCAGAATACAGACCATACTGCGGAAATGAGAGTGTCCCATTGAGACGTGACCCAAAAACACCGGGATGCATTGTCAATAGCCTATCCACTCAGGATCTAATAAGTATACACGTATTGCCTGCCAGCCGAACACAACGGCAGTCTTCGCCCGCTCGAACCCTGGGATCATGATTTCGAATCCCACTGAAGGCATGGATATGTGTGCAGTGTCTACCATTCAGTCCAGAACCTTTTGTCTTCTCGTCCAAAAACATAAAAATTAGAATATACAAAACTACAATTTTGCAGGTGGTTCTGTATGGGTGTGAAACTTTGTCTCTGACCTTAAGGGAGGAACATAGACTGAGGGTGTTGAGGAGAATATTTGGACAGAAGAGAGATGAAGTGACAGGAGGTTGCAGAAAACTGCATAATGAGGAGCTTCATAACTTGTACTCTTCTCCAAGTATAATTAGATTGATCAAGTCAAGGAGGGTGAGGTGGGCAGGGCATGTAGCACGAATGTGGGAGGTGAGGAATGCATATAGGGTATTGGTGGGAAAGCCAGAAGGAAAGAGACCAGTGGGAATACCAAGACGTAAGTGGGTGGATAATATTAGAATGGATCTTAGAGACACAGGATGGGATGATATGGATTGGGTATATCTGGCTCAGGATAAGGACCAGTGGAGGACTCTTGTGAACACGGTAATGAACGTTCGGGTTCGATAAAATGCTGGGAAATTCTTGAGTAGCTGCAGAATTGGCGGCTCCTCAAGAAGGGCTCAGCTCCAGTCTGCGGTGCAGACAGCGGGTATTAAACAGACACCGGTTAGTTCATGTATAGAAAATGTGGGACTGAATATTACTCATGAGTGGTCACAGTCGTTTTATTAAAATATTATTTTATTAAATAATTCTTTTCGTTAGAATAAAGGCTACTTCATTGTCTATGAAGTGGTTTAAGAGAATATTACTGTATTATTTATTTTCTTTTGGAAATTCCGCTTGACAAAATTATGTCTCACTAAATAAGCACATTCCTTTCGCTTCAACAAAACATTTCTCAAGGCGCGACCTTACTTGTGCGTGGAGTCCCGCGAGGGATGCGTAGGCAATGGCTTGCGGGATGAGTGTCAGGCCCACTGTGACGCCTGCGACCAGGTCAGCCACCGCGATGCTTGGCTTGTAATAGGGTAGCCAGTTCAACAGCGGCAGGCGCTTTGCCACCAGTCGGCGTACATTCCTCGTGTTCAGAGTCCCCAGCATGCCTGCAACCAGTTTATATGCAAATATTGTACCGTAGCGACATGTGCTGTATTTATTGCAGTCAGCATAGCTTCTGTAGAGACGCTTCATGTATTTCGGCCATCATCAAGTCCGCATCACTGTTTACTACATGCTAACCCCTTACATTTGCCAACGTATACAGTGCGTATATTTTGTGTTGTCCTCCACAAAACGCCGGAATAAAATAAAAAAATATATATGTATTGCAGTAAAAGGAATTAATGTTTCAACAGATGTTAATAAATTGACATTTATTTCAAATTAGCAATTTAACAAGTGCGTATATATTAGCACTGCGCAGCACTATGGCCCTGGGGTCGACTCAACCTCTAACAGAAATGAGTACCAGGAATATTCTTTGGGGGTAAAGGGTGGCCGACAACCTTACCGCCATCTGTGAGCCGATTCTAGAAAATGTGGGAGCCTCGACCTCTCACAACCCTATGGGCCTTCACGGCCTGTTACAGGGATAGCTTTACTTCTACACCCTAATATACCAAACTGACAACACAAATTATACCCGCTCCGAGCACTGGGCGATGTAAGGGCTGAACAGCTCAGCCAGTAGTGAATATGGATACTTGATGAAGGCCCAAAGGCCGAAACATGTCGTCTATGTGTGGTTTAAATTATAGTAGAATTTACCACTCTTACTTAAGCTTATGTGTGCAAATGTTCATAGTATTTTGAACTTAACTCATATAATTCTTCCAGTCTGACAGGAATTGAACTTAAATTATTAAATACAAGTTTAAACGAACATGTGAGTAGTTTCATTTTATTACACGACATTCTGAAGATGATCCTATAGGACCGAAACATGTAAGGCAGTTCTATTGCCGCAGCATTTTAGTAAAACTTTGTTACATTTCATTGTTGTCTTGTTCTCTAACAATTCATCTGTAAGACCAAATAAATATATTGTTATTAGACACGTTAATTTGTGACATTCATTTCTCATCATCATCATCATCATCATCATGTAACCTAAAGTAACAGGCCTGAAGGCCCCGCAATAGTTCAAGCGGTTAGTCGCTGGTTTCCCACAGCGGCGGCCCGGGTTCGATTCCCGGTCTGGTCAAGTGGGATTTGTGGTGGACAAAGTGGCGCTGGGGCAGGTTTTCTCCGAGTACTTCGGTTTCCCCTGCCAATCTTCATTCCACCAATTGCTCCACAATCACCCTCACCTATCATCTGATGCTGGTACAATAGACCAGAAGTGGCCGCAGTACAAGGAACTTAGTCCCACTCCACTAGCAATAAAAGAAACCAGGCCTGAAAATCTCCTGGTAAATCCATATTGTTCTTGAGCACCCGAAATTTCTTGTAAGTTTGCATGCCGGACAGTGTGTTATTTTATTACTGATCGCAGAAACTTATAAATATGTCACTGGGGTGGCCTCTGGTGAAGATCGGTCACATGCTTCAGACGTTGAAATGGCCGTCGCAGAAAATATTATGATCCAATAACCTTACTCACCAATAACCTTTAAGCAAGAGAAACAAGCTAAAAATGAAGTACTAATTATTACGTATCGAGATTCAAATCGAAGTTATTCCAGATATAAAGCAAGAAGCCTGCGGGACAGTTCGATTCAGTTGTCCTATTGCAGTGTCCCGTAAACTGTCGGTTGCGTGCAGGAATCACTGACTGACTCAACCAGAACGTCTCTCGTCGCAAACCAGTTATGTAGCTCTGCCCTCTACTTCACATTGGTGGCACATTTCCTTGAAATTCATACCTTCCGTCAGCACTCCTGTGAATCCCAAGTGACTTCGTTGGCATCATGTTCGTCATTGTGAAACGTCACTGTCTCGGACTTCGTCATAATCTTCGCCCCTACAAATTCCTACTTATTTATTTAGACCACTCAGACAGATTTATAACCACGTGATCCTATGTTCGCATCTTGATCAGGCCGGTTTTTTAGGTTATTCTTTTGTTTTAGTTATTAGAACAAAGAAATTCAGTATGGGCAAGAATATTAAATCAAGTTCTATGAATTTTTAGCAGCTGAGCTGAAGAGGAAATTAAATCATAAGCGGTTGATAGAGGACTGGATTGCAAAAAGAGAAATATGCCGTTTTACGAAGTTCTGGGAAATATTTCAACGGAATGTTCTAGGTATTTCCGCACATATATCCTTGCCCAAATCAGAAGATAGATATCAGAATATTTCTATGGATGACGAAGTGTTTGCACTGCACATCCACGCAATGAAACCGTACAGTAAGCGGTTTATGACTGTTGTCTATGAATGTTTAACTACAGACTACTCCGCGCCCCTAGTGTAGGGAAAGAATAGTTATTCATTTTTATTTTCGACTAGATTTGAAAACAGTGAATTTCGAGTCAAAGATAGTATATACAGCGACGCTGGTACTGAACTGGTTGGTCTGTCTGTAACAATCTAGTAGTTTCTTAGGGGTTGTGGCGATGGTGCGTAGCACTAAGAATTACTGGGTTTTTTTGCTTTGTCCATTGTACGGTATTCTGAAAACTAAGAACACAGCGTTTCGGACTCTGGATCTACTTCCGTCCTCAGATGAGGGGGGAGACACCTATTCTGTTGGGTCCCTTAGAAAGAACGACTGAGGCAGTGTCATAGCTCAGGGTGTTAGTAACCGGTGTCCCACCGCGGCGGCCCCGGTTCGAACCCAGGTCAGGTCATGTGAGATTTCTGATGGACAAAGTGTAACTGGGTAGGTTTTCTGCGAGTATTTCGGTTTCCCCTTCCAATTTTTATTCCACCGACTGCTCCACACTCATTATCAGCTATCATCCGGAGCTGGTATAGTAGGTCAATTAGTGGCCGACGTACCAAGTGGACAGTCTCACTCAACCCCAAGAAATTAAACTAAATTAAACCAAAAGAGTGGTTGAGGTTAGCTTTTTTTAAGGTACCAAACAAAGTAGATGTCTCCCCCTTCGCCTGAGGACAGAAACAGATCCAGTTTCTGAAACCAAACGTTGGACGAAGTCCAAAAACCCTGTGATTCTGTGCGGAATCTCTGTCGGGTCACCGAATTTTCTGACCGATGTTTTTCAAAGTCTTCCTCAGTTCATGCCACGGTTCCTTCCTTCCTAATATCTTCTCGTTCAACATCCATCCTAACATCCGACGTTATAGATATAGTCTCGTTGCAGAAAGCGCCTTTGAATAGGCTGCAACATCCCCCTCATCACGTTGGTTTGTATAATTAACAAAATGGGTTCATCACGCGATTCTGCTGATATTCAATAATAGTGAATATTGGAATTATGGTTTGACACGAAATGGAAGGAACGGAAAATATATTGTTACAGTGTAGAAGTGGAGTTTTTCTCGAGCCTTCATCGGAGACAAAGAATTATAGAAATATCTTACGTGTTGCAACAATTAGGGAATTGAAGGCAAATCATTTGTCAGATGAACTGATTTTTTCCCCCCTTGGCACTACAGACCCAGTGGGCCTAGGCCTACCTCTACGAACTCCGTCCACTTCGGTTTTTCTAGATCTTACACATTCGGTAGGACTCCTTGGGCGAGTGAGCAGCTCGTCGCAAGGCCTCTACCTGTACACAAACACAGAAAAACGCACACATACAAACTAAACATCCATGCCCTGAGTGGGATTCGAACCCATGATCCCGGTTTCCAAGCGAGCGAAGACAGTACATGCCTTAGACGGCTCGGCTACCGTGACCGGCAGATGAAGTGATTACCTTTCACAAAGATGTTAAACAAAAGTACTGACCTGATATTTTTAGCCTGCTTGGCTTACTTTGATTTCAGTGAGAATGTCTCATATACTTTATAATAAACATGTCATATAAACGTTGCTAACTGCGATGCCTTGTTCTAAATTACCAGCAGGTTACTAATTGCAAATGCTTGTCACGTTTCGAACACGGGTGACATCTAACGGAGGGCTCGCAAAGTCTCTCTCTTCTGTTACCCATCAACACGGGACATAAACATTCTGTAGTGACGTCATGTAGTCTGCTTGGATTAATGATAAGATGTAAATCCCATGCTGTTTGTGGTATATTAAAAGTTTCGAGTCTGCTAGGAATGAACAAATTTTGCATTTACTTTCGCTCTGAAAGAAATTATTTTGTCTACGGCAGTATTTAGGACCTCTGTACCAGATTACGGACCGCCTCTGTGGTCTAGTGGTCTTCCTGGCTACAGATCCAGAGGTCCGGGTTCGATTCCCGGCGCTACCAGATTTTCTGAGAAGTAGTGGGTCTGGAACGGGGTCCACTGAACCTCATGAGGATAATTCAGGAGCTATTTCAAGGAAATAGCGGCACCGGTCTAGAAAACCGAGATTAACGGCCGTGGGGAACGGTTGCGCTGACCACGAGACACTCTCTATCCGCAAAAGTTGGAAGCCGAGAAGCGGCGGTCGCTCGGTCGGTATAGTTCGCTTGCGGACTACAGGCCACGGAGTTCGTTCCCCCCCCCCCATTACGGCAAATACTAGACTGCATTTGTCTTCATCTAGCATTGCCTTTAGATCAGGCTGCTTAGTTTTTTATTTTTAGTGGGGTGGTACTAAGTCTCTTGCACTTATGGCCTATTGTACCAGCCCCAGATGATAGGTGAGGGTGATTGTGGAGCAATTGGTGGAATGAAGATTGGCAGGAAAATCGAAGTACTCGGAGAAAACCTGCCCCAGCGCCACTTTGTCCACCACAAATCACACTTGACCAGACCCGGGATCGAACCCGGGCCGCGGCGGTGGGAAGCCAGCGACTGACCGCTTGAGCTATGGCGCGACCTGAGGCTGCTTAGATAAATTAATTTTAATATATCTCATGTCAAAGACAGGATGCGGTTAGGATTCATCTGGCTCAAGATAAGATCCAGTGGCGGGCTCTAAAGAACACTGCATTTAACTTTCGGTTTCCATAAAAGGCACAGAACTTTTAGATGAACTGACTGACCATTAGCTTCTCACGTAGGATTTCTCTGGACAGAGTTATTTAGTGCTA